GAATATATAAATATTATGTGCAATAATTTATTATCATTGTTTCAAAAGTCGCAAAGAATTAGGATTAATACCTATTTGCAATACTTTATTATCACTCTGTATAAAACAATACATTTTACAAGTTTACAATAATTTTCATTAATCCGTAGAATACAGCTGCCATTTGGCCTGTTTTAGTGGTAGAGTAGAGCTTGTTTGTCCCCTACAGACCAGCGACATAGCATGCTACTGATTGTAGGAAGGAGGACCAGTGAAAACAAACTACACCTAGTCCGGGCCCTAACAGAAATGTGAATACAAACTATCTACCAGAATCATTTGACAAAACAGTAAGCCTATGAAATTTACAGAAGCAAGCTTTGTGCACGTGACATAAAGAGGATATGTGACAAAGATGAGGTGAATTAGAATATTAAGAGCTTACATCTAAGTTCTGTCTCTGGTTCGCACTCCTCTTGCCTATTTGTGCCTTCTAAATTGAAATAAAAAATAATCATTGTTACGAATTTACAGTAATTTCTTTCTGTCATTCTATTTTTTGTTTATTTCTGTCTTTAGTATTATGTTGCCAACACACATTGTTATTTGTTTATTAAACCATGATTAAACTGCTCATTAAACAGCGGATAGGGTCATTGCTGGGATTGTTTTGTTTTCGATTGAATTAACATATTATACAACAGATGAAGACTATATTTCTCACCCATTTTTAGTGTCGCGTGATATTAATTCAGTAAAATACTGCTTTAATTTAAAAGAAGGTATATAGCGAATGGTGACGACATAATCACAAATCTAGACAAATTTACTAAATAATTAGTTTATTTGTTTGCCACAGAATAGCTAGTAGCGTAAGCAATTATTCACTGATACGATTTTACAATAATTTTCATTAATCCGTAGAATACAGCTGCCATTTGGCCTGTTTTAGTGGTAGAGTAGAGCTTGTTTGTTCCCTACAGACCAGCGCGATAGCATGCTACTGATTGTAGGAAGGAGGACCAGTGAAAAAAAAAAAACTACACCTAGTCCGGGCCCTAACAGAAATGTGAATACAAACTATCTACCAGAATCATTTGACAAAACATTAAGCCTATGAAATTTACAGAAGCAGGCTTTGTGCACGTGACATAAAGAGGATATGTGACAAAGATGAGGTGAATTAGAATATTAAGAGCTTACATCTAAGTTCTGTCTTTGGTTCGCACTCCTCTTGCCTATTTGTGCCTTCTGAATTGAAATAAAAAATAATCATTGTTACGAATTTACAGTAATTTCTTTCTGTCATTCTATTTTTTGTTTGTTTCTGTCTTTAGTATTATGTTTCCAACACACATTGTTATTTGTTTGTTTATTAAACCATGATTAAACTGCTCATTAAACAGCGGAAAGCCGCCACAGAAAAATGAAACTTTAAACTACCTTTAACACTACGACAAACAAGAAAAAACAGTAGAAGTTTACTTTGTAGGCCTACTTGTGAAAGACCATTTGTCCTTTCCTATAAATTTTCAACCCGTTAAAAAAAATCTGTTCATTTTCAAAAGTCACTTTGCAACCATTAGGCCTGATTTGCATGACACATAATTTTGTACAAGATTGCTTATTTTAATTTGGATCATTTGACTGAACAGAAATGGGAGGGGTGTTATGTATTAATGTGTTGAAGGCACACTATTAAATATATCACGAACAACAATTTGTTTTGTTATCTGACAAACCCGTTTAATCCTCGTGTAGCCGATCAATCCACCAATTACTCCGAAGGCTCCAACAATTATACCAACAAACAACATTCCAATTGTCAAACTTGTGCCTGGAAGGGATGAAAATATAACAGTAAATGTCATACAAACTTCCACTGTTTGGCGCAGTGGGTGCAGTTCTTCTCAATTTCCCTGTACATTTCGCCTGTGTCCCAGGCGCTTTACATACGGTTGTCTCTCTTCATCCAGAGTAAAAGTGGGTGTATGGTAATCGCAAACAGAAAATTTGCTTTCAGTGCTTTACCCTCTATCAATTCAGTAGTCAAATTTATGTTATGCCAAAACTCGATAAGCGAAAGCTTTTATTTTTTGTCTGAAAATAATTATGTTTATTGTAAATATGTGTTTGAAGAAATAAAATAAAAGACAATAAAGAGAGATGTAGAAATGCGCAGACTTACAGCTTAGCATCATGGAATTTTCTCTAGGGTACGTATTACTGTACATGCGATTAATTCAATGCTGGGTTTTATAGTTTGTTTATTCAAAATTGCAATTCCGACATTTTTTTATTATTCCACTTGCTCTACCAAAAAATTACTATTTACCTACCTACCACTTCTTTTCGTTTGCAGCTGTGGTAATAAAATAATTACATTGAATCATATCATAGAATATTTCTTTAGAAATCTTATGGTTATATGAACTTGTCCCTCCGTGTTGTTTTTACTGTTTTCTTGTCAATGTTAAAATGAAGGATAATTGTAAGAGCGTGCGACTCTGCGTGTAAGCGTTGGGCTTTCAATCTTCAGGTCGGGATTCGAGACTGATGGTCGTCACACTGCTTGTGTCTTGGGCAAGACACTGCCTCTCTTCACTCAGGAGTATAAATGGGTACCTGGTAGGTGAAGGATTCGCAATGAAATTACTAGTGCTGATGCTGATTATACGCATGGGAAAAGCACCTTGAATACTTCTTCCATAATTCAATAATACGCTATATATACGGTAATGAATAAGGAAATAAATAATTTTTTGTTAAGCCGTACTATGGAATTACAATCCTTCCCGTGCTATTATTAAATCGAAACAGCAAGCACATTCTAATAAAATTGATGTTATGTAATTAGTGATTATAGTTTTACATAATCCTCTTGGCCCCCTGGGGAGCACAGGGTGTCCACCATGAGTCTCCATCTCACCCGTCTCTGTGCCGCAGCTTCGGCTTCCCCCCATGTAATATTGATATTTTTCAGGTCTCGGTTAGAGACGACGCCAGTTCTTCCTGGGTCTGCCCTGTTTTCTTTTCCACTGCGGGTTGTAGTCTAGGGCCTGCTTGGTGACATTTATAGGGTCTTTCCTTAAAGTATGGCCTATCCATCCTCATGGCACTTCATTCTCCTTATTAGGTTGCTGAGTTTTACATAACATTGAAAAACCTTAAATGTGTTATAAAATATATTTGAAGCAACATAAAAAATAAAATGCTGTACATGTGATGAAATGTCCCCAGTGAATAAAAAAATGTTCACGATTACAATTGCTTATTGATATGATGAAAAGCAGTAGCCTAAGTTTGTGTCATTTACGATACTCACAGTAAATGCTATTTTCACAATATCTCCCACTGTAGCCTTGTTGACATTCACAAGTAAACTCAAAATTAGCAGGTCTGCAAGTCCCTCTATTTCCACATGGATTAGAAACACAATAGTCAACATCTACAAATATTATATTAAAAAATAAGGTGGATTATATTAAATATATCATTGATTATTATGTATGTATGTATGTATGTATGTGAAGGTCGCTGGGTCTGTATCTGTATCATTCAATTCAGTGATCCATTGGTAAGTGAATTCAGGATTAGCTAAAATGTCTAGTGCAATAGTGACATTCTCACCAGGAGCAACAGTAATGTAATCAACATATTCAGGTGGATCTAAATACAAGTATAATAATTATTCAAGATATAATTCTGAATGAATCGTTTTAAATATCTTTTGATTTGATTGTTATAATTATTTTCTATGCTTCCGAGTTTGTTTAAAAGCAGCAGTCTGTGCTGGCGCAAAGCATGGTTCACTAACAACTGTAGAATAACCAAGCAAGAAAGATCAGAGCCGAACGCAATGGCTGAAATCCCAAGCTCAATGTGATCTTGCAGAATACAGGATTCAATGTAATCTTTACTTCACCGTACTCTTAATGAGGCTCGAACCGAGCTTCATACCTTCAATCTAAGATCGATGGATGTGGTACAGGGTTGGCGCCAGCGGGGGGGGGGCACAGCAATTCGTCGGGGAAAAAAAATTATATGTATTTTCTACACATTAGTAGACTCTAAAATCGATTAAATAAGCCCTTGAAACCCCTAAATTGTTAAAATTTTCGGGCGCTTCGCCCCCTGGACCACCTTCAAAACATTTTAATCGAAGCTCGACCACGACGCCTACATTGCTTTCGTAGGGGAAATCTGCCCCCCCCCCAGTCGGAATCCTGGCGCCACCCCTGATGTGGTAGTGGTAGTGATCCGGGAGCTCTGTTCAAGATAGACAACAAGCTACTTGGGAAGCAAACCGCCTGTATATACTTAAAAAAAAAATCGTAGCATTTGCAATGTCCATCCCTTTTCATATCCAACTACATGTACTCTCAAAATCTTTGATATTTATCTTAAAACTGTTGCTACATTCTTTTCCACCGTAAACTCTCGTCATTCATCTTTGACAATTATTTCCAAACAGTAGAATCACACCACACTCTCAATACGACGCTGATTTTTATTTCTGATATAAAAATCAGCGTCGTATTAATTTTAAGAGAACTAAAATAGGCCAACATTGGATAACATACCAAGGTGTAAGAATATGGAATAACCTCTCACAACTATTGAAATCTCAAAATCACATTTCCTCTTTCAAAAGAGAGCTCCATAATGAACTCAACAATAAGTATTTGTAATTCTTTCCTATAAACACTTTTATTTCAACCCTGAAACCTTTTGTAGAAACACCGGCATTGTGTCCGGCGGGGTATAGTTTTACCAGCTGTAGTTAAGTTAGTCGACCCTTCTGTTTTGTGCGGGGGATTCATATAAATAATACTAATAATGATAATATAGTTTTATAATATGCTTAGGGCGCTTGAAATCTGGAGTAGGAACTCAATCAATTACTTTTTTCGACCATAAGGTCCCTTCGTGTCTGTGCTACCCAGTACCAGCAACCCTGGTCGTCCATCACAGGGGCTGCCTTTTCCAGTACACCGAGGTATCCACTTCTCGTCTCGAAAGATGTGCTGGGTTCTTGATAGTGCACACGAGCCATTATATACACTGGGCCTACGGTTTATAGTCCCTAACCGCTCGGCCATTCGACTCGCATATTATGTAAAAGCTCTGCTTTGTTTTTCATTTTTGCCATGTTACTTGTTTTGATATTCATATTTAATTTGATGTTTGAATTGCTTTAGAATGAATTTTATACTGCAGGTTCTTTGCAAAGGAAATTGAACCTTGTCAGCGTACCTTGATTTGTCTGCCGCATTCGATAAGACAGATCATAGTATTCTTATCAGTACACTTTCAAATTTAGGCATTTCTGGTACAGTGTTTAGTGGTTCAATTTTTAACACGTAGAAAACAGTCTGTTGGAGTTACATATGCTGTCTTATGCCCCGTTCCCATTAATGATGTCCCTGAAGGTTCTACTTTGAGGCCCATTTTGTTTCTCATTTATACGCGTCCTCCGGAACGTTATCCATAAACATGCCATTATATATCACATCTACGCTGACGATACTCCGCTATATCATACCTCCATGGCTATACACATCTTTTAGTCCCCAGGCTGCCTCCGAGACAATTCCTAACTTAGAAGCTTGCATTGATGAAGTACATGCATGGTTGTCTTTCCGAAAAAAATTGCTGGACATCTCTCCTGACAGCGACCTGGTCTCACTTGGACTGTCCGCTGGTGCCACCACTGAGTTGAGCAAGACTCTGAGTTGTTGTTGATATCATTAAGCTGGTGATTTTATTTGTTAGTCTTCATGAAATATTATAAGCATCTTGTAAATTCCTTGTCATACTGCAATATGTTGAAGGGGTCCGTGACAAAATCACTGCTGGTGTTTACTTGGAGAGCCAAGATTTACCATTATGCTACCATTATCCTATACAAATGCATATACTTAATTTTATATTTATTCTTATTTCTTCAATTTCTGATGAAAGCAAGTAAATCAAACTAAACTGAATTTCTAATGAACAGCACTAGTTATTGCTGACTCTCACATTTACACAAAATCACAATTCAAATGATACTGATAAGTTGCATTATATAGGCCTATAGGAATTTAGAGTAAAAAATATTGCACTTGAATACCGCTATGCTGTCAAATCTACTTTAAATTACCAAACACTGGAAAAGGGTTTTTCATTTAATTAGAAATCCATGTCGATAATTGAAGAAAAAAATTGGACACCTAAACAAATTCTTTCATGACTCGCTAATTTTTTTTTTAAATGTACGTATACGAAGATTGCACCTCATTACAAGATATTTCATGTTATTCTTATTAGCAGTAACCTACACAATATGTTCGGAAAAATCCTGTCAACATCGACAGGTTTGATGTACAGCTCAGTACTTTTGATTTATTGGCATCTCATAAAACATAAACATTATAAAAGAATTTACTTTTTCGTCATCTTTAGATAAATGTGTATGACAAAGATATGTCTGTAACTATGTTTAATTTTTCTGGTATAAGTAAAAGAATAAAATTTATCTATAAACCATATGAACCTATTTTATCGAATATTCCTATACTTACAATAATTGAGAATTGTTGTTTCACTTTCTTTAGAACCAGCTCCGTTTTTCGCTGTACATTTGTAGCTTCCTCCATCCCTCTCTGTTACAATGTCTATCTTATATGTTAAATGTGAGTTATTTTCGGTCTTGATAACATCACCATCTTTAAGGAGATTTATCACGGGAAGTGGATTGCCATTTGCAGAACATTCGATTGTGACATTTTTAGCGGCAGTATAAGAACTAATATCAATCATGACATCATCTAAACCTGTAAGAAAATTGAAAATTATTTAATAACCAATAATCAGAATTTCTAACACTGATTTTATTTGCTTTCTTTCTGTACAAAGATATGCTGCATAGACAATATACTAGTCTTTTTTAGAAGAAATATTATTAGATTAAACGCTACCATCAGAATCCTACCCTCCGCCAAACTAAACACAGCACTGCTTTCCATACCAAGTGCTCCACGCATTCAACGATACATACAAATACTATTTAACCAAAAATGGTATGCACTACCGCGAAATATCATCTTTAAAGACCCCAAAGTTGTCACCACAGCTGTGCAAGAATACTATAGTCTGTGTCTTATGTATTCTGTATATAAATATATAGACAAATAATAACGCAAAGCGAAAGTAAGGTACGGTATTGCCAATATTTATTCGAAATAATACGATGTTTCGAGCACAGCTCTTCATCAGGTAATGACAAGGATGTAAACGGAGGAATTTTTAAGAAGTATACTGTACTGTATTACAAAAGACATAAGATAAAAGCATGGACGTGAATATTGTACCTACAAAACAAGTAACTGCTGAATGACAATAAAACAAAAAACCGCTAAAATCGGTTACAATGAAGCTGTAGCCCAGTAAAGCCGACGAACTAAACTGCTGGGAAGCAAAAACATGCCTATGACAACATATATGGATTAATAAAAATACAATACTAAAATCATCTGCTGATATATATTTTTTATAGATTACAGTACTAATATTTTTACTTTTGTATATATATTTGTGTAGCGGCAGTTTGGCGCAGCGGCTGAGGTTCGGGCTTTCAATCGAAAAGTCGGGGTTTTCGAGTCTCCGCTGTGCAGATTCGCTTGTGTCCTTGGGCAAGGCACTTTAGCTACATCGCTTCAGACCACCCAGCTGTATCAATGGGTACCAGCAAACTGCTGGGGACTAACATATGCGACGGACTAGTGTCCCGTTCAGGGGGAGTACAACTCTCATCCGCTTCACACTACAGAAACTGGGGATAAGCTCCAGTCCTATGAGCGCTAGTGTCTCGGAAAGGATTGAGCTTATTCAACTGGTTCATTTCTTTGAGTATAAAATTTCGTTAAGTATTATTTTCATTCGACTGGTTCATAAATAGATTTCGTAGACAACGAAAATTAACGTAACCAGAATGCGTTAAGTTGTGCACATGACCCAAAAAATATGGCCGATTGGTCAGTTTAGCAACATCATTGCGTTAATATAATTTAGATTAAATTTCATTACAATATTACCCACATTGAAGTCAAAAAATAATTGTAGGCTAACAGAATACTTATACGAAAAACCCATACTGCCCCAATCCGAAGAAGCAGCCTTGATTGTGTATCGCGGTAACTATGCAGCCATTTTAGTTTGTCAAGTATTTACCAGTTTTCTATTCGACTGGTCGTCTTTGTGAAGTAGGATTTTACCACTGTCCACCACAATGAAGGAAGAAAATTTTCTTCCTCCATGGCACCACTGTGCAGGTGGGCATGGTTTAACGAAGAATGACCAGTCGAATACGGCCATTTAGTTATATATATTTGTATTACATCACAACACAACAGCATGTACTTCGATACTCAGAGTTTGCTGTAATGATTGTTACTTTTGTTTTTTACGTCATGTGAATTTGTATAATTTGTATTTAAGTCAAAACGGTCTTTTGACAAGTTTCTCCATTTGTAAATAAAGTTGATGTTATTATACATCTATTTTACCAGTTTCATTTTAAAGTTTTTTTGAATGAATAAAAATATAAAAATACTTAATAATACTTAACAAAGTTGTCACCACAGCTGTGCAAGAATACTATAGTCTGTGTCTTATGTATTCTGTATATAAATAATTATATAGACAAATAACGCAAAGCGAAAGTAAGGTATTGCCAATATTTATTCGAAATAATACGATGTTTCGAGCACAGCTCTTCATCAGGTAATGAC